TGGGCTGTGCATTGATAGATCACTATGTCAGATCAGATAGACAGACAAAACATGGAGTAACTAATCCAAGCGTAATCTTCGTTTATTGACGACCTCCGTAGCCGAGTGGTTTGTACGCCGGGTTTCATGGTGTCGCGTGGTGTCGCCGACTCGAGAGGTCCCGGGTTCGAATCCCGGTGTGGGTAGATGTTTGTGTGAAGAATACGAGCATCTGTACTCCTAATACTTATTGGTGTGAGTGTTGGAAATATTTATTTATTAATAAGGGGTATGAAGAAAAATAAGTGTTATAACTCCATACTAAACATATACGTATCTAGAATATTCCCCGTACATACGTATCTGCAAAGTTAAGCAGTAAAAGGTGCCCGTTCGACTCCGAGGCAATAAAATCAAATGGGTCTGGCTGGAGCCTCCCGAGGGCGGGGGGCAGTGGGTGGTCGTGGCTGTCTGAAATGAACAACGTGCAACTGGCAATTTAGAGGAAACCAAGTATAAGAGCAATCTCTGGCTAGATTTTACCACCAAGCTATGTTTTTGGCAGACTATATGCTTAATATACTTTTATTTGACAAGTAGACTTTTAAGTATTTTTTATTTATAAAAAATATTGTTTTAAAATTTCATGGTCACTAACATTATAGTAATATATGTTATTAACGGGATTGTTACCATGTACCTTGTTTTTAGCGAGTTTCCGATATTTCGGCACTGTTGCAAGCGTCATGATCACAGAGTAACTGAAGTAATTGCGGGTAGGCTGTTATTGGCAGACATATCGGTCTACCCTCCGACGAAGTCTTTTATTGCGTTCGATACCTGTAACACTGTTCACATTCTCACTATTCACTCGAAACTGTTCCCAATACACAACACTTACAGTATCGGATCGCGACACGACACTTTTTTGATTTTTCCGGTTTTTACACATACGAACCACAGGATTCCAGATACTCGACAATATCGGAAACTCGCTAAAAACAAGGTACATGGTAACAATCCCGTTAATAACATTTATTTATACATTTTGTAGACACAAATCAAAATAGTCAGTGATAACAAAATAAGATACTAGTACAAGGGCACAGCTTATTTCAATCTGAAATTACTTCCAGCAGACCCGTAGAAGGAAAGCACATTGAAAAGGCAGTCAGTGTGTATATACTTAATTATGATAAACATATACGTAAAGTACTTATGAATAGGGGATATACACATATAAAATTGATACCTATGTACTAAGACTTATAATATATATATTTGTTTTTGTGCTACGAGTAAGACTTTTGCACCAATTTTGCTAAATCTCTATTAACTAAATACTACATTTAACCCATACAATAATGTTATATTTTATAAAGGTTAAATCTAGTTTTATTTAAATCAAGATTTAACAAATTTGCTGCAAGTGGGCCTATTTAGGCCGTAACGTACTTCGTTATTGTCATTACAATAACTAATTAGGAGCTCAAAGGCGCCAGTTGTTAGTACGTTCGGTCTGTGATCGTGGAAGTGTTAAGAAACTTTCGCCAATGGCCAGTCATATGATGGGTGATCCGAAATGTATTAACTCAGCTGTCATGCTTTGGAAGGTATGCCTTTAGTCCCGGCTGGATCTGCAGTCGTTAGAAACCACCAATACGCACTGGGGCTGTTTGATGGGTCGTTACTAGACTTGCAACGAATATTCGGTTACTATTCGGTATTCGGCCTATTCGGCTGCTTTTATTATATTCGGCCGAATACCGAATATAAAAATATGAATATATTACATATATATTCATATTTTTATTTCTGTTATATAGGTAATAATTTAAGTAGTCATTGGTACATAACACAGGTACATAATCATTTTCGGAATTGGAAAAATGGAGGATTCTATGTATTTGAATTATTGTGGTAATCAAAATTTAGAAGGGTAAGGTTCTCATTTCTTTTATAATCATTTATTAAGTAGTCATTGGTACATAAAACAGGACATAATTTAATCATTTTCTGTATTAAACAAGTTAACAGTTTTTAATTCATTCAGCCATGTGATGAATGGTTACATAATAGCAATAATTTAAAGTTCACGCGACGTTTTTGGCCATATCTCCAAAGTTGGCTTTGTCATTTAGCCGCATTTAAGCTTGAGGACGGCAGATTAGAACAAAACAAACAACAAGTTTTTGGCACTAAAATCCAGCCGAATACTGCCTGCCTAATATTCGGCTATTCGGTGAGGGAACTCGCCGAATATTCGGTATTCGGTATACTGCCGAATATACTATTCGTTGCATGTCTAGTCGTTACCTCATTTTCTATTCCATCTATAGAGGCCTGTGTCACAGCAGTGGGAATAATAATAGGCTGATGATGGTGACAATAACTTTATTTCAATCTAACGGTGGCAATGGTTATGAACTATTACATGTTATCTAACTATATATATATATTCTAAATGATGTAATGGAAGGTGACTCCAGAAGTATCTCTGAAGTCATTTTTCAACTTGACGACTCTATATACATATAACAATACAGGGAGGAAAAAACAGACCTTGCTGAGTTTCTTGCCGATTCTTACAAGGTCTCCCGCCGTAGTTTTGCGAACTGATGGCGTAGCTTCTTGACCTTCACAAGTGGTTGTAACAGCCTAGACTGAATAAATGATTTTTGATTTTATCGAACGCTAATAGTTTAATGTAAATTTTGATAATAATCACAGAACACAGAAAGATTGAAATGTGCTTATAGACTCTTTCGCCCCCACTACGCTTCCACTTAGTAGATAATAGCCAATCAAACGACGCGACATCAAAAAATCTACCCAATCAGCGCTCACACCCTAGGACAACGACGCAATCAGAACCAGGTTTTGGTCACGTTATGAGTATTTGCTCACACATAACTGTGGCGCGCCTGCCACAAAGACCTTCTAACTGTGTTCTGTGGTAATAATGAAAGTAAGTAAATTTTTCTAATTTTCCGATACAAGTAAATACATACATATAAAAACGGTACATCAAAATAACCCCCCGCATTTTTAAAATAATACCTAATCTTTTACTTTATCTATTTACCGCATTTTGGAGTACGCCAGTAGTCCCTTTGGGAGCAGCATCGTATACTGCAGGGGTCGAAGTAAAGACTACCTTTTTGCTTTATTTTTGCGGATGATACGAACGTGACAGGTACGGTCTTCAAACAAATAGGGTGAGCGAAATAAAAAATGGACGATTAAAGGTTCCGTAGGGAGGTTAGAATACTAAATTGTCTGCCAAAGGCTCCTTCTTACTATGTATTTAATATAATAGGTGTAATAAGTAATAGAATAAGAAGAATACAATAACGTCAATTATTCGTTTCGAGATTTTATTCGGAATTCTTGGGTAACGGATACAATAATATAACGATACATACATAAGATTTTTTAAGTGAAACTAATAAAATAAGTAAATCGAAAAATCCCATTGAAAATATGAAACAAAATGCGTCACGAGCGTCACATGACTATATAAATATAAATGTTTGTGTGTGTGTGTACGTGGGATGCGTGCGCAGCTCTTCCCGACGAACATGAAAGTTGGAGGGTAACGCGGCGAAGGCTGAAACGCTACGAGCGTGACACGCGACAACGTATATATATATATGCCTGATGCGGCGCTGCTTCATTCGCCTTTGAATCATGCATCGTCTATTATTAGGTTGTGTAAGAAAAAAGTTTCACTGCAGGTGTGTGATCCGTGCACACATTTTTTTTATACGAGACACAACAAATTACTGTCTCCACCTGATCTTAAGTTTAAGTGGAGTCCAGTCCCGAAGATAGATGATGCGAAAGAATGTGTGCCTCCCCAGCCATCCTCACCTCGCCGACGGTTCCTCGGTAGCTTCAATCCTATTGTGGGTCTCTTCAATCCTAATCTTGAGTTTAATCCATTTGTATTCATAGCTGCAGCAATGGCTTGCCAGTTGTACTTTTAAGTTAAACACATTGAAATATAAATAACATTGTATTTATTTCGCGCCGCAAAGTGAAATAATAATGAATATTCATGTTGCCTATAAAATTAGTGAATTTATGTATGATTTTCACAGTGTATTTTCGATGTTTGAATAATATAAAAAGGCGCCTTACATAGTCTATTAATATCAATTACTGTCATGTTATAATGTACCTGTATATACATTATGTTTTATTATACAAATAAAGAAATTTCAAAATTCAATTCAATTCATTCAACTTTCTTTTCGGCCCCTTCCCCTACCCCCGGATCCCTACTAGCCAGCATAATATTTTAAACATTATTCGAGTAAAAATGCTCATTAACACCATCATAATTATTCAAACATTTAGGATTTGCATCTACCCGGGATTTGAACCCAGGACCTCTGATAAGGAGTAAACATGAGAATCGGTGTATAAAAACCACTCCAGCACAGAGGTCGTCAAAGTCAAAAATATTAATTAAAGTATTTCCTGTTTATAGTTATGCTTTTTAATTTAACTGGTACATATAAGGAAGAAGCTTTTTATTATTTCTGAACTAGCGGCCGCAAGCGACTTCGACCGCGTTTTCTCTAGTTTTTTGAATCCTACAGGAACCAAACATTTTTCAGGGATAAAAAGTATTCTATGTCTCAATCCAGGTCATAAACCGTATGCGCACCAAATCTATTCAATAGTTTTTGCATGATTTAGTTACAAACATACAAACTTTCGCATTTTTAATATTAGTAGGATATCTTTACGCTGTCAACCACAGAACAAAAAATATGTTCCGTGCTGTCAACCATAAATAACCGGTACAGTTTTTGATAGTGTCTTCAGCACGTTTTTACTATTCCTACAAGGTTAAGCGATTTAATTTATCAGAATTTAAGGAATTGTTTGTATATAAAGTTGATGGTGAAGGCTAAAGAAATACACTTTAAACCTAAAATAATATCAACTTGAAATTATAAACTTCAATACCTTCTTTTTCGAGCAGCTGCGTAGAAGTCGCTAACTTTCAGTTCATATATTCGCAGCGGTGCAGAACGAACGCCAACCACGAAATACTGCGACCATCAGGCCGGAAGCTCTGCGGGACATGGATCAAGAGCGGGCGTTGCGAGAGGCCGCTGTCGCAGTAGGAGTCTTCGGGTGAGTGCGATGAGGTTGAAATCAGGATTGCCAACAGTACGAGATTTTAGGTCTTCCGTACGAGGTACGAGAACACTAAATACATCTCGTACAATGATGTACGAGATTATGTCAGAAAAAGTTACAACATGGTTTTACATTGTAGACAACATGTTGGAGCATAAATCGTACGTATCAAAACCCGTTGGCTTATATTTTAATACTTGCTAATACTTGGAGGGGTGGCAAATCGTGTACGAGGTTCGAGATTTTTAGCTGCATAAGTAGGGAGAAAAAGAGACTACGATTGACAAACCTGTTTTAAATGAACTTGAGTGCTTCTTAGCCCGAAATTAAATACATATTAGCTCTTATTACTAAAGGCAGAAAAACTTTTTTTTTTAAGTCAAGTGACACACATTTTTATTGCCTACCTGTAGGTAAGCAACAAGGTTTGCTCATGCATGACTTCGCCATTACGTTAGGGGCATGGAGCTCTGGAATCTTATTTATTTACACTAAAACAACACTATGAAACGGTAGGTACTGTTCTTTAACCGTGGTGTTCTGTAAGAGGTTACTTCCCATACGAGCGCTCCAATTCGAGTGGAAATTTCGCTATGTATTACCTCTCTCGAAAAGCCGTTAATACTTATAAAGCTAAACATCTGACGAAAGACAATCACGGTATTTCACAAATATTATCAATCTTAAAAAAGATAGATATTTTAAAACCAACAATAATTACTTAAACCACTACAATTTCACTTTGAGTAAGAAATTATCATATCGTACGGCACCTAACTTTTTAGCCCGTTTCGTACAAAAACGATGCAAGTATGTATAAGGCAACCGTGCTTTATAACAAAAAGAACAGTTTCTATGTTCTCCAAATGGATATCATACTCATTATGCATCAGTCGACACTCTAACGCTCAAACAATCTCTTCAAAGAGTCATGCTAGGCTAAAGGATTTCTGTGAAACAGCCAATTCCACATCGTCAAACTCGCGCCACAAAGACACCACGCGAGTTCCGTTTCCGATAGAAAAGTCAAAGTGGAAACGTGCTTTGCCGCGTCTGAATAACTATATCCGTGAAAATCCTGAAGAAAGGCACACACTATTTTAGTTTTAAAGAGGTGTTTATTTCTTATTTATTTAATACTAGCTGTGCCCCGCCGTGATACCCGCCGTTTATTATGGATATTTTCCCGCATAGAACATAGCCTATGTTTTAACCCAGGGTGTCAGGTAACTCCATACCAAATCTTATGAAAATCGCTCCAGCCGTTTAGACGTGAAGAAGTAACAAACATACACACTCACAAACTTTCGCCTTTATAAAATTAGTGTGATTTGTAGAAGCTGCTTTTAAAAAAAGAATCCATAAAAATTTGTTTACACTTTAAATTAAATAAATCTGTCTGAAAGAAAGGTCCAACTGTATAAGACAAAAATCAGAGGTTTTGGGACGATTTTCTATTGTTTCTTTTTTAGATTGCTGAGTAGGAATATAGGAAGAAACTAAGATGTTATTATACACAAATCCATAGATCGACACATATTCTTATATAACGTAACTTAATTTTTTTGTAGTATCACGGCCAACGAAAGTCCTAAATGGGCGTTAGGAAAACCAAATTTTGTTCAAAATAAGTTCTGTTGTCACGACAATCTAAACATAGGAGTTTAACGTTTATAAGTAGTAGCAGTGGCGTTAATGGTTGAAAAAAAAACGGTAAAAAGTTAATAGTTGAATATAAATATCGTAATTATAATTTTAATGGTTGAAAATATCGGTTATTATTTTTATTTAAAGAAAGAACACGTGACTATATTGTTTAACTTAAAAAAAATAATAAAATAAATGTTATCAACACTTACACCAATTAGCCTAGCCCCAAAGTAAGCACTGTTAGGCTTGTGTTATGGGCTACTAGGGTAACCGATAGAATATATAATATACAGTACATATATAAGTATATTTATATAGAAATACAGATTAAACAACCATGACTGGAATACAAATGCTCGTATTCATCACACAAACATCTGCCCCCACCATGAAACCCGGCGTACAAACCACTCGACCACGGAGGTCGTCCAAACTTATGTCCGACAACATTCTAATAAAATTTAGAGAAATTATCGCTAATATTTTTGATGAATATTTCGTTAATATTCCTTTGGTGGCTACATCTAATTTGAGTTCGTTACCGGTGGATGCCAAGACATTGCTCGAGAAATATGTACCTAGATGTGATAACGTGTTTTAAATCTCTTGAACAAAAAAATACAAGTTAATTATGGGGTATTTCTACTATTTAGATAAAATAAAAAAATTATGGGATATTTGTATAAATTCGATATCTGAAAAATTTTCATAAGTTGATTTATTGTCAATATAATCTGGACATCTTCAAGGCCAGAGTGAACAGGCATCTTCTAGGCAGGCGTGTACCATCCTAGGCCTCATCATCGCTTTCCATCAGGTGAGATTATGGACAAAGGCATTGCCTATTTTGCATAAAAAAAATTACGGTCTGTGATTGAAATTATTCATTACGATAATTTTAATAGTCGGTTACATTAATCTATATGAACACTGTTGCGTTGAAATCAACTTGAATTAAATTAATATGGTTGGAAATATTGAATATATTTGTATTTTTTTAAATAGTTTAATTTAATGGTTGATAAATATATTCAACAACTAGTACATTTATTTTCTCTTCTATAGTGGCTAATTGTCTATGCAGCTTTTGCGGGAAGCATGAAAGGATTTGAGTTGGTAATTTTTTGACTACCCAACCGATCATTTACAACTGAGAAAGTTTCTCAACTTCAATAAGCTCGGTTCCGATGTTCTTACCTACCACTGCGCGACATAATTCCATAATAACACGTTCAAGAGATAATAAAAGAGCGCCCAAATGTGAGTCGGACTCGCCCATAAAGGGTTCCGTAGCAGTAAGTAATTATGACGTATTAAAAAACTACTTACTAGATCTCGTTCAAACCAATTTTCGGTGTTTGTATGGTACATCATATTTTTTTTGTTTTATTATTTTCTTATTTTAGAAGTTACAGTTATTTTAGAAGTTACTTCAGTTTAGAAAAAAATGATATTAATAATCTTTTCTTTGTTTTTGAGTTTCAGTTATATAGGGTTTTTTATTCTATTTTTGTGGAAAAAACTTAATACGGTTCACAGAATACATCTACTTACCAAGTTTCAACAGTATAGTTCTTATAGTTTCGGAAATAAGTTGCTGTGACATACATGACGAATCTATAAGAGTTCCGTTTCTTGCCATTTAGCTACGGAACCCGTAAAATCATACTTAAACCTTTTCATATTTCATAGTGTGGGGTGGGAGTGGGCACATTTGGCATTCAAATCTCCTCAATCAGGGTAGTGCTTACTGTTGTACCGGTAAATCATTTGCTGTATGCAAATCCAATATTTATAGTTGGAGGGAACTCAGGTTCAGTCGCAGGGTGGAATAATATTTCGCTTACCTACACAGATAGGTACTTATGTTTATTTGCAGTTTTATTTTGCAAAGGTTGTTTTTTATTGTGATAATGACATTACTTATCTTTGACAATTAATTTTATACCCATTTTTTGTTTCTGCTGGTTTTCCAAGCTTTTAAAGTATTAAGATATTAATGTACCAACACGATCAGAAATGAGGTAATCCGACAGAGAACCAGAGTCATCGACATAGCCCATCGGATTAGCAAGTTGAAGTGGCAGTGGGCTGGCCATATTTGCCGAAGAACCGATAACCGTTGGGGTAGACGAGTTCTGGAGTGGAGACCGCGTCTAGGCAAACGTAGTGTAGGACGTCCTCAGGCACGATGGAGTGACGATTTGCGCAAAGTGGCTGGCAGGAGCTGGATGCGAGTAGCCCCAGATCGATCTGAGTGGCGTGCAATTGGAGAGGCCTATGTCCAGCGGTGGACTAGGTTAGGCTGTTTGATGATGATGATGATGATGATGTACCAACACGAGGCAAGCTGTTATATATAACGCTTTCGGTGGCACAATAAAATTAACCAAAAGTTGTTTTATATTCACCAAAATTCCTAAATCGGAACAACATTTTTTCTCCTAAATATGGTTTTTCCATGTTTACACTCACCGATATATACCAGCATAAGTCGCAACATACAGTCAAAGGTATGCCGTTACTTAACTAGTGATGTCATTCATCTGCTAATTGGGACGTACCAGTGCTTAATCGAAACCGCTTTTTGCGTCGCTTCTTAGAAACTTTAAGCAGTTTTTTTTTACCCCAACCTTTCCTTAATATTAAAAACCTAATCATTTCGACATACTTACCACAATTTCTTAACCTTGACGTATCGGAAAAACCGAAAGGGGCTATGTCACAATGTTTTGTAACATAATAATATTGTACGCTTGTTATAAAAAATGGAATGGAACTAGAGATAATATTCGATGGTACTTAAAATTAGTAGCTAATAAAAAAAAAACGGTTTTCCCAATATGTCTCGACACTTAAATTTGTTTTTTGCTGCCTGTCTATATGGAGTTTACGTGAAAAGTAATAAATTATTTCACTGATCACATAGGTACTTTAAGAAATGCGTGGTGCTTTATCCTGCGGAAAACATAAAAAAATCTAAGAAAGGGCAAAAGAAAGTTAATATTTTAATAAAAAATATATATTAGAAACTCGAAATCCAGGTAGGACTGGTACAGTATGCCTAACCGAATGACTTTCTTAACCACTACACTAATACGAAAAAAATCAAAATAAAAATCTATTTCATTCACCAAATCCCATAAAAAAAAACAAAGACTGTTAGCTACAATTACTCTCTTTATCACCCACTGATGTGCCATCGTTTTCCCAGAGCGGTCCTTGTTTATGAACAGTGGCAACACTAGCCTTCGGTCACTCAGTCACCCGTGGCCACCTTTGATCAGCCAACAGCCAATGCATTGAGGCTTGATCCACACGGATAGTCTGACGTCAACCAAGGGGCATCTATTTATGGAATTTCCGTAACGTCCCTTCAAAGTGCGGCCAACCTTTTTACATGACTTCCCCTAAAGAGAAAAGAGGTTTTTCTGAGGATTGGATCCTTATTATATAGTTTTGTAGGGGTTTCATAAACTACTGAGGATTTGGTCCTTCTTAAATAAGTTTGTACGGGTAGTCTTTGATGTTGTCTAGTTTTGTACATGAATATTGCCTTCCAAAGTTAATGGAATATCAAAGGTACGACAGAAGCACGGGAAAAGGTGAGGTAAAACATGAATTTTCTGCTATAATTGGAGTTCCCCTGTGGGGAAGTAACCAGAACCTTGCGGTACACCTAAGTCAAACACCACTACCTTTTGGTGGTGTTAAGTTTCGTTCCTGTTGGTTTTATAATAATTATAATCATTTATTTCAGATAATCATCCATCGAATTATTAGTACAAGTTAGTAACAATGTCGGGCTTATCCTACGTCAGTATTATTAGTATATTAATAAATTGTTTTTAAAATTACTAAATCATTTGCCATTACATATTGATTATATTCACACACTTATCATAAATTATACATGTCAATTTAATTTTTATTATCTTTAAAGTCCCATGGCTATTTCTACTCACTGTCTCTGTATGGAACAGTCCATTTTAGCAGTAATCATTTTCTGAAGGCCAGTGCCACTGTTACTTAGAAGGTGTAATAAAGAAGCCGCTTTTTTGCACATAATTGCATGAAACCCATCTGTGTGCGCGTCTACGAACATTTTGGAAGCGGAACATCGCCACGGCATGCAACAGCATCCTGAAGGCATTATAATATTGTATGCGCAGGACATTATAGACTCGCCGTGAATATGCCACCCACTGACCACTAGCGGAAAAGGTCTGACAAAAAGCTTTAATGATTATTATGATGATGTGTTATTCGTTAATTGTTCCAGCCCCCCAGTATCACTAGCGATGGCATTATCACCCGCCCGGTACCCGCTGCTTTCGCCACATTACGCCACACTACCGCCACAACCGCCACCGCCCGTGCAACCAGACTCTTCGCGGGACAATGACGAGAATACTACACACAACACTGACAGCGATGGTAAATGTCCTCTTTATCTCTTAATATTACTGTTTTTTTTAGAATTTTAAATTTCTTTATTTTCATAGTTAAACATAATATATACTAATAACATGATAGTAATCGATATTAATAGACTATGCAACGCGCCTTTTTATATCAATCAAACATTGAAAATACACTGTGTAAATCATATTTAGGTAAATTTACTTTAATATGAAACGTGTAAATTCGTTATTATGTATTTCAATTTGCGGCGCGAAATAGACACAGTGCTTGGTAATTGTAAAAAAACAAAGATTATTATAAGAGAAGATACCTATTATCCTACCTCTTCCGATAAACTCGGAAGTAGAACTGACAAGCCATAGCTGCAGGGGCCTATGTCCAGCATTGGACTGATATGACGCACTATGCAAAGCTGACGTCATTAGTTACTGCTCACACTGTAAATAACACACGCTTATAGTAAATAAGTATGACGCACTACTTAACGCCGCCGTCATTACTGGACTTGTATGATGAACTACGTAAAGGTGGCATCACCACTGCCTGCACATATTCTTTGTATTTATGACGCATTGCGCAACGCTTTCATCACGACTGCTTTTCAATGTCACTTTATGTACGACGCAGTATACAATGCTTCAGTCACCACTATACGCGTGCTGCAATACGATGTCGTTATAACCTCTTTTGCCTCCTCAACTTTTATTGTGATGCATTCTGTATGTTATTGAAACTTTAAAGACTGTCCTTATTTTGTGTTAAAAGTTCTAACTTTCATCATTAACGAAAAAAAATCCATTTGTTCGTCTTTACTGAATTTTAAAGATAATTCATACAATATTATTATAGACACTAGCATGTGCCCGCGACATCATCTATACCAAATAATCAGAATCACATACAAACTTTCAATCCCTATTTCACCAACATCAATTTTTATTTTCACAATAGAAAGTACCTTCTATCCTTCTCCTAGGTCTCCTTTATCTTTATACCAATTCATCAAAGTTGATTCAGTGGTTTAGGCGTGAAAACTTACAATCAGACGGGCGCAGGCAAATAGTTACGTAAGCATTGGTGATATTACTGCGGACTAGGACTGTATGTTTCTTTAGTGTCGCAGCACACGGGCCACCGATCACAACCACAAAACGCCGCCACCGGCATATTTCTTGTAGTTTTCATCCATTTTATATGGACTCGCCACACACGATACGCCGGCGCCGGTGCCCGCCACACGCTACAAATCGTCGTTGCTCGCTTCTTGTGCCTCGGATTTCGCCACTTAATGCGCCGATACAAAACGCCGCCACACGTCACTGGCGCGATGCCCCACCCCTCTCTCCCTTACCTTAGTCGGCCGCTGTCGCGCGCTTCAGCCACTTTAATAGCCGCTTCTAGCTTCTCGTGGCGGCGTTTGTGGCTGTGGCGTGTGGCCCGTGTACGGCGACACTTAATCATGTTATATTACTATCCGAACAAAAACATTTTCATGTAAAATGTTGCCAAGACGAGACCATATGACTGGCACTCTTAAACAGTGACCAGTAGTGCGATTCTGTAAAAAAAAAACTCACTTCCGATTTCGGCAGCTGCCATTTTAGATATAAGTTTGATATGTATTACGCCATTACACGCCAAAATGTCGTTATGTCTGCAGAAGCAGCCAGTATTAGATATTTGTCAGAAATACGAACAAATGAGATCGTAACTGGGATTGCATCTTACAGAATACCTATGCTGCTCTCATGTAGAGCCATGGTTTAAATCTACAAGTTCTAACTAACAAATTCTACACCTTACCTAAAATATGAGGCTTGGCCGTTTCGTTACTACTAATGAACAGTGGATAAGTTTTTCACCTTATACCCATGTGAATGTAGCGAAATGACCAAGCTACATATTTTGACTCTTGTCGTCTTGGCGAGGAGGAGGACACGGGAGTGTCCCCAGATACCGGGCTCGTGTTGCGAGTTATAGTTTAATCATTCTATTCCATCCATAGGGAAAGCCTGTACCCCAGCCATTAATACACGGAAGCTGATGATGATGATGTAATTTCTTTTGCAGATGACAGTATCGATGTGACGAACGAAGAAGACTCTACATCATACTCGCCTCCTTCAGTCACCAGTTACACACAAAACTGTGTTCCTTACAGGTGAGAACAAATTTATTCATGTTTTGCTTAAAATAATGACGTTGTTCCAATGATTTTTTTAGTCTTTATCTTTTAAGGGAGACCATTTTTTCCCTCAAATATATGCAGTTGAAACCGCAGGGTTTAATAATTTTTCATATTCGTCTATTGAGAATTGAAATACGCTTTTTTTTAATTTCTTGCAACTTATTCTGGATAAGCTATGGATTGGAGTCACAACGCTGACAAACTCTTTCAGATGTCTGGTTTAAGATCAAGGCTTCCCCCACAGCAGTGGCGGAATTACCCTAAGGCCCGGTAGGCCCGGGCCTAAGGCACCGGCCAGATTTAGGCGCGGCACCAATCGACACCCTAATCTGCCAAAATAAAACGCGTCAGAAATCAAAGAAAAGGCCAAAGCATTGCAAAAAAATTTATTCTACTGACTTAGAAGGATATTTTTCAAAAATGACACCATCGTGCTTGCTGCACTATAAAAAATGAGGATCGAAATAGTGCTGTCAATTTGTTTAAATGGTTACGAACTGAAGGTCTTCAAAGCATTTACCCAAACGTGGATATTGCTCTTCGTATGTATGTGTGTACTCCCGCCAGTAACGTTTTGGAGAACTATCGTTTTCTTGTTTACGACGAGTAAAAAATAATTTACGACAACCATGACGAACCAAAGGTTAAACGATTTTGCTTTAAGGAAATTGGATTGCGAAGATTTAATTAATGATTTTGCTGCACTAAAGTGCAGGCGAGCTTTCTAACAAATTGTATAACACTTATTATATTTTATCTTGCACTGTTGTTAAATAAATAAAACCTATATAACCATTAAAATGTTTTATTTAAATGTGCAATTATTCCTGAAACCTTGTAAAATATTATAAATTACTAGCTATTATTATTATTATTTATTCTAGTAAACTTATAGCTACTTTTACCACACTACCTACCCGTACTTGCGATAACAAGTATCTCCACGGATATCGATGAGTAGCTTCGTACATATTAATTGTGTTTAATTATATATTCAAATATTCAACTCTCAAATCAGTGTTAAAAGTTGATAACACTCGTGTAAAAGTTATCATAACCCGTATGCCAAGTTGGCAGAGTATGTTAGAGCAAATAACTACGTAGTTGTAACAACTTATGTACGGTACCTTATTCTTGAGAAATAAAACATTTTTTTTTCCTAAACTTCTAAATCTATTAAGATAACAATAGGCAATAAAGAAATATCATTATGAAGTCTATGGTGAATACTGAGAAAGGGGCAGCTGATGGCTTGGGGCCTAGACTGCCGTCCTCAAACTAAAGTGGGCTATGACATGTGGTCGAATTTTCAGTCTTAATTTGCATCTTATACAATTTTTACTTCTCTATCGATCTGTCTTTAAAGAGTGTTCGTATCTTTTATACCTAGTTTGAGTCTAAAAATCCGTCATTTGATGAATGGCTACGAAATAGCAATAATTTAAAGTTTACGAGCCGTTTCTTGACCATATCTAAAAAGTTGTTTTTATCATTTAGGCGCGTTTTAGCTTGAGGACTAGCGGCCGGGACTGTAAATCCGCCGCTGCCTATAGGGGAAGCACAAAACAAAGAAAGAGGTTAGAAGGGCCTTGTGGGAGGGGCAAGCGCGCCACATTTATGTTTGAGCAAATGCTCATAACTTAAAAAAAACTTGGTTCTGATTGCGTCATTGCTCTCGGCTGTGAGCGCAGATTGGGTTAATTGTTTGATGTCGCATCGTTTGATTGGCTATTTTCTATTAGGTAGAAGTGTAGTGGGGACGAGTCGGCGACATAGGTTCCTGTTCAAGCTGTCTATGATCACCCTACTAACCACTTTCTGTGTTCTGTGGGCGGAAGGATTATGTACATTAATACCAAACCAATCCCATTTCTATCCAGACCTTTGGGCGTGGAAAGCTCAGCGGAAACAGCGGCACGGTTGTTATTCATGGCAGTAAAGTGGGCCAAGAATCTTCCCTCGTTCGCGAGTCTCGCATTCAGGGATCAGGTAGGTAATGTTCAACTATAATTAACTCTAGTAACTATCTATTATCATTAACTGGTTCATTTCTTATCATCATCAGCCTATTAATGTCCCCACTGCTGGGGCACAGGCCTTCTACGCGGGCCTAGGGATGAAACGATACCATCTAGGTATCGATACTTTACTCGATACTGTATAGGTCATAAAGTATCGATGCCTACTGGTATCGAATGAAAAGAATTGATACTTACTTGTATCGATATTTTTTTTAAGTTTCATGATGTCGCCTACTCAAGAGGTCGCGGGTTCGAATCCTGGTGGGGGCAGATGTTTGTGTGATGAATACTAGCATTTGTACTCCAGACGGTGGATGTTTAATATGTATTTCTATATAAATATACTAATGTTTGTACAGTATATGTATTCTATCCGTTTCCCTAGTATCCCATAACACAAGCCGTACAGTTTATTTTGGGGCTAGGCTAATTGGTGTGAATGTTGGAAATATATATTTATATATTATTTAGTCAAATTTAAAACTTAATTAACATTTAAGTTCAGCCGTTTGATGCTAGTATAACTAACTCTTGCTCATGTTGTTTAGGTGATTCTTCTGGAAGAAGCTTGGTCGGAACTGTTCCTTCTGAACGCTATACAATGGTGTCTTCCTCTAGACACTGCCTGTGCAGCACTATTTGGAAGCGACCAGACTGACCAAGGTGAGTTTTTTTTCACGTACGTGTTTTATAATGGAGTTTTTAAGAACAAGCAGTGCGTAATAGTTATTTATGATATTAGTACGGTCAGTAGGTTATTACAAACAAGTAGACCAATGTAAACCCGAGACGAAGTCGAGAGCTTACCATAGTCACGAGTTTGTATACCGATTCTGCACGAATGTCGGTTTGATCTGAGATTGTCACGTCGGAAAATATGGGTCATACAAATGCGGTAAATCTTTTTACCGCACGCTCCCATACATGGCGCCGCGCGTTTTTTTATGTTTTTTTTTTTATTTCGTTTCGTAGTTTTTTGAAATGACTACAAATAATTTCGTCTAGATTTTTAATTGACTACATCGCATAATGCCTAATATCACATAATTACTAAATCTTTATTTGACCTAATGAAATAATGACTATATTGTAAAATGACTACATAATGAACTACATCTTTGGTCTCCTTTGCGTTTTAGTATTAAAGTGGGACAACGATATAGATTAAAAGCGCTTTCAAGAAGTTTCGATCTCAATAAAAGAAACCGCAAAGAAAACGCGCGGCGCCATGTATGGGAACGTGCGGTAAAACATTTTACCGCACTATCCGTTGTATGGTCCGTAATTTTTAACTTTCGAACAATGTATACACAAAAAAACGCATTCTTTGAGTACATGTGTTGATGATAACTATTTTATATTTTTTAGCAATCTCGAGAAGAGTGAGGAAGTCATGGCCCGTTTTTCCTTTTAAATCCATAAGGGAAGCGCCATACATGTATACGCTGTCCCAACAGTAGATTAGACAAATTAATAGATAAACATTATGTTGGTGATGTTATTAGCAAAACATTAAACTATACTAATAGGGTATTTGACAAGTTTTAGAAAACGATCTCATGTTATTGACTAATGTTTATGGAGTCCGTAAAAAGTGGATATTCATCATTTTGTTGTGTATTTCAGTAAAAATAACTAAATCAAAAACTTCATTTACAAGTTGCCGCGAAAACGTTTCTCTGGACAATATGGCGTCTTACTAGTGTGTGACGTCACACGACTGTTATTAAAACGTCAAATGATACAATGTATTGTCACTTTAATCGGAAGTTTACTTGCGTGTGACGTCATTTTAGGCTCCGCTAATCTCAAGCGTTTTGGGTCACGTGACAATAGATAAGAAAACTATTATCTTTTTCGTGGGTTTTTAGTAAAATTATGAATTTTTTTTTTTGTAAAAATAGTAAAAACCTCTACCAATATTCATTCTAAACACAGATGCTAACAATTGGCACTTTTTTTTAATACTGTCAAATACCCTTTTACCCCATAAAATCTCTTTGTTTATTAGAGAACGGTGTGAACTCTGCAGTGTTGAGGCGATTACGTGAAGTGCTCGCACGATATCGCGCCGTTCTGGTGGATCCAGCGGAATTTGCCTGTATGAAAGCAATAGTTCTATTCAAATCAGGTAGGCACTTAATTATACATATTTTATCAAATTCTTATTAAACTTGTTATCTATATTGTGACGCGATTCATACTTAATTAATGAAGGCTGCGAAGTTATCGCAAGTTGCCATGTCGGATGACATTAGGGTAGACAACCCTACTATATAATATATTTATTATTCTACTTAGGAGGGGATCAAATACTATATTTCTAAAAAATATATATAGAAGGCGAAACTACTAGTATATTTTGCTTAAAGCAGATTTTTGCCAGTAAAAGCGTTCTTGGAAACAAAAAATAATTATTATCAAGGCATGAAAGAGCAAAAATATATTCATTCTAAAAATAAAGTAGATATTTTAACCACATACTATATTGTTTTTCCATTTCTTCCAATTTTTTTCTCATCATTGAAAATACTATAATTGATAGAAAAAAAGTTGGTAACCCTAGATGGCATTGAAGAACCTGCGCAAGTTACGCTCGCGGCTAACTTCATCACACAAGTCTTTAAGTTTGAATCGCACTCTACTCTAAATAGCGCTTATGCTTGCTTACACAAAAACATCGGTTACGCGTGGCTTCAATCGGGATGATAATGGTTATAATGTCCTTTCTTAAAAGTCCGCTCCATACTCCAAACATAGGAAAATAAAAACATATTTATACTCTATTCAATTTCCTATGAGACCAAAGGTAATTGCTCAGCTTCCATACATGTTTGGCCTAAAGACCAATAATCATGAAAAATTGTTTCCTAGATTCGCAATTATATATAAATTACTGTAGAAACGAATATCATTGACGGACACCGCTGAGAACTTCTAAAAACCATATACAATGAACATATTAAAATAATAAAAAACAAATAAGTTATATAGTAAACTAGGGAAATCAAGCCAAGTACCGAAATTATGGATTAGATTCAGATATATATAGCATGTAGATTAACAGATAGTTACCTGTTTTTAAAGTTAATGCATAAGAGTAACTTTTAAAATCAAGTGTCATTTCCGGTTATAATAAGGTACTCTGTGACAGAAACTGTGTGGTGATTGTGAATGCGCCACAGATTAGAGAGAATTTTTAAACTCTCGTTAACCAAAGAAAGCTATGAGATTTAGGTTCTATAGCCATATATTCAGTAGCTTCATTATTTTTGTTATGTTTTTAAGATTATTTATATATTTTAGGTTTTGAGTGTATCATACCTTATAATTTTATTTATTTATTAATTTATAGTCAGGGAACGTAGGCCCATAGATAGATACCTTAAAGTCTAACATATATATAGATTATAATGTGTTTATGGAGGGCGAAAAATGTATGGCAATAGACTTTATGATGTCGCCTCCCATCTATAATAATTGTCTGAGCACATTTGCATCTAGTGAAAATGATAATATAGTTGTGTATATTAATACCACAGTGTAATAAAAAAAAAATATATTTTATCGATTTTTACAAAATCAGTCTTTGGCTGAATGTAACTACACCCATAGCCATTAAATTAACCATTAAAATTCGTATGTTTTCCAATCCGGTAAAATTAAAAGTCCTTTTTAAAGTAGATATATTATACGAAGGTGTCCGTTGAAATCTAATGACTGTAAATTAAATTATAAATTACGCCAAGAATTACCGTGTATGTCAATATTTTTTGTGCATTTGGGCCAATTTTGGGGCAATCTCCTTTAAAGAAATAAACCAATGCTTCTGAAACTTTTTTGTCAAGTGTAAAGATGGCCGATGTAACCAGACTGATGACAAAAATTCACATTTCAACGTACATTATTTAGTTTATTCATACCCTTTAATTTATTAGTATTTATAGTGCGTTCAAAATTTGGGAATAGCTACAGTTCTAGGCCTTTTTAGTGTCACTTTTCAAAATTATGATTTTAAATGCGAATAAAATTCGACCTATTGAACAACTGTTTTTATGGTTTGTTTACCTTTTGTCTCAGAGGAAGTTGAATAGACTATACTTATTTACTGATCTACTTACAGAAACAAAAAAACAAACAAATTGTAAGTTCTACTAATAAAAATGAGATAAATATTTACGGTGCAAAATAATATACAAGGCCAAAAGGTGATGTTGTTAGTTTCTAAGATAACCTCCTACTTCAAAATTAATCAAATACTTAGTAATATCAGCCGGACATTGTGGTTAGCAATAGACTAGGTGATAGTTAAATGTAATCAATTATGTAATCATCTCAATGTCATCATGGCATTACGAAGCATTTTTAGGCAATTTGTTAAATTTGTTAAATTTTGTAACTAGCAAGTCTGAAAGGCCTGCCACATAAAATATATAAAAGATCTATAGCTCGACTACATGGTTCTTTATCTGGTCCAATCATGAATCCAAACCTTCCACAGGGACTCCCTCGAATGTACACATAAAGTTTCATCCAAATCAGTTTAGCGGTTTAGGAGGAGTTTCGTTAAAATACACATGTAGTTATATATTTGAAGATAAGAAGTGTTAATAATGTTTCTAGCTTTACACGCCTGCCGGTTTCAGTGGGTTCCATAAAATCTAAAATTTTAAAGAAAAATTTTTACTTGAAACATTCCGCTATCCGGGCGGATGCATTGACCAAGTATTGCACTGACAAATTCGACAGGGCCGTTATTGCCGCGGTAGCATAAAGGTCATAGCTCATTAGAACAATCCGGCACCCGGCTAGCATCGGCACCGCCTCAACTCGTGCGGTTTATATTCTATGAATTGATTTCTATGGGGATGCGCTCACCACACCAACTCCGTACTATCGCCGCCTTGCACGCTTAATTAGTCAGTGCATCTTACCCGGAAAGCGGAGGGTGCGAGTTCGAGTTCCGTCTGCTGCCTGACCGCGTTGCATTTATTCGCAAAAAAAAAAAATCTTTAAATTTTTTAAATTTTATAGAACTCGCTAAAACCGGCAGGCGTGTAAAGCTAGTAACATTATTAACACTTCTAATCTTTAAATAAATAACTACACTGTCCATGTGTATTGTAACGGAACTCCTCTTTATCCGCTAAACTGATTTAGATAAAGTTTTATGTGTACATTCGAGGGTGTCCCTGTGGAAAGTTTGGATACATGATTGGACCAGATAAATAACCAGGTAGTCGAGCTGTAGATCTTTTTATATTTTATCTGGCAGGACAGTCAGGATTTTTTCTAGGAAAAAATCTTTAGGTTGTAACATCTTGCAGTTAAATGCTCAAATTAAAAATAATAATCAAATCTATTAATTTTCCTATAGAAACGCGCGGCCTCAAAGACCCCCTCCAGATCGAGAACCTCCAGGACCAGGCTCAAGTGATGCTCATGTCGCACGCGCGCGCCGCGCACGCCGCTGCGCCCGCGCGGTTCGGACGCCTGCTCTTATTGTTACCGTTACTGCGCGTCGTACCACCACAGCATCTTGAAGCGGAATTCTTCGCTAAAACCATTGGGAGGACGCCCATGGAGAAGGTTCTGGCAGATATGTATAAAAACTAATTCTTCTAGCCGCACGGCCATGAAGAAAGTTGTCGTAGTATACAAGAACTGCCTCCACTGTTGATATGGTGCAAGTGATTCGAACGCCTGCTGTTATTGTTATCGCTACTGCGCGTCGTGCCGCCACAACATCTCGAGGCTGAGTTCTTCGCTAAAACTATAGGGACGCCCGAATTAGTATAAAAACTAACTGATCTACCCGTACAACTATCTTTAAACGAAATACTACGCCAAGACAAGAAGCCAAACTGTTACTACGTTTGGTACCGCCACAACATCTTGAAGCGGAATTCTTTCCTAAAAACATTGGGACGACGCCCATGGAGAAGGTACTGTCAGATATGTATAAAAACTAAATCTACCAGCCGCACGCCCAAGAAGAAAGTTGTAGAAGATATATAAAAACAAGCTGCCTCCACGGGGCAGGGGAAATTCTTCTGCTGCCTCGCCCGCGTTCTGGACGCCTGCTGTTGTTGTTGCTGATCTGGAATCAGAATTCCTTGCCAAGACTATCGGATGTACGCCCATGGAGAACATACCGGTTGATATGAACAAGAACTATTAGCTACCTCTATTCATAGATACTTGAATTGGTATACTTAGCCGTGACTATGAGCCGCACGTCGTCGCCCCGAGCGTTTCAGCCGCCTGCAACTGTTACTACCGCTACTGCGTTCGTACCACCACAGCACATTGAAGCGGAATTATTCGCTAAAACCATTGGGAGGAAGCCCATGAAGAAAGTTCTTGCAGATATTTATTAAAACTAGGTATCTACCTACTACTGATACTAGAGATAGCAATATGGCCGCCTGCTGCTGTTACCGCTGCTGCGATTCCTACCACCACAGCATCTGGAGGCTGAGTTCTTTGCTAAAACTATAGGACGGACGCTCATAGAGAAGGTAATGGGCGATATATGTATATGTATGTACAAAAACTAGCTAACTTCATTCATACAAACATCTCGAGGAAGACTCGGCCACATAGATTTTAAAATCGCCCCTAAGTGTATGTAGCGGCAAACAGACACACTTGCGCAGTAGACATTTTTGTACGTAAAATTGCTACTGCGCAAGCTTTCTTGTTTATGGTTTATGCTCAACATGTTTGCCAGGTTATATACCCACGTCAGTCTAAAATATTATGGCCAAATATCACAATTACGGTAATGTTATTGTATATTTTTTTACTAGTCACTATGTGCAATATAAGTTACCGCCATAAAGTTTTAAACTTCAAGTCAGCGACCTTTAACAGAGAATATTATTTACTATCTGAAGAAAATCTTTTTATTTTATTAGTGTAGATTGTAACAGCTAAAGATAATGTTGTTAAGACGTGTATTATAAAGAAAAAGATAAGCCTAATATTAAAATCTGTATATATTCCATATGGCTGCGTATTACGACTAAACGTTACTAATTAATGTACCCACTAAATAATAGGATAAAAAGCAGCTGTGAAAATGCAATTAAATTCAAGTAATTTGTAAATAATTAGTTAACGAATTTAGACGGCCTCAAATTTTTCATTGTTAAGCAATTGTAATGTTTGTAGCATTGTTGGCAATTCGACATTCCTTTTTGAATACGTGTATCTTTATTGCGATACTATAGATAAATCGTATATAATAACAAATATTCTATGATTTTAAAAGATGACACGGAATGTCTGTTTCAGTTGTGTTTAGGGTTCCGCATCCGTACCCAAAAGGGTGGCAATAAAATCCTATTTATCGGTCGGATAAACAGCAGTTGCATTAAGGCCCGTATTACAGAATCACAACTAGGGATGCAAAGTCTTTTGAAATATCGATATTTATATCGAAGTCAGGAAAATATCGATATCCGATATATCGACCCTTTTAACTCGATATTATCGATATATCGATATTTTTTTCTTTTTAGCTTTGTATTAAGTTTGCAAAGCAAAAACCTAAAATTAAGGAAGCAAAGGTTTCCGAAATATCGATATTTATAATGTGGGCAGGTAAATATCGATATCCGATCCGATATATCAGCCATTCCAACATTTCCAATACGATGTTTTTAGATATTTTCTATATTTTTATAGCGCTGTAAGAAGTATCAAATCAAAAGTAATTTCGATTCAAAGATATTTATTTTGTTTAAAATGTTAAAACATCAGGGGCGTGCCCATGGCTTCAGAATAGGGTAAGCCCAAAGCTTCCAAAATTACTATACCTATCTTACTTTCTTGACTTGGCGAGCTTAAAAATATACGATTTGTATAAGATTATTAATTTTATTTTGTGTTATATTACAATGATGTTAAATTTCAATTAATCAGTAGTTGACAATTATCTAGAAAGAGAGGCAAGGATTTTATTTAAGTGCATGAGTTACCATTAGGTATACGATTATACCTATATACGTTGGTGTAGATTCTGGTATGATTATCTAAACTTAAAACTAAATTTAACATCAGTCTCTCCTTTTCATTCTGTATAGAGAATGACAAGGATACACTGTTGTCAAATTTAATTTTAGGTTTAGATAATCATACCTTAATCCACACCAGTTTAATATATTTCTTGGGGTTCAAGATTTTTTTAATACATCTATAAGCTCTTGCGATTTCAAAGCAATGGTTATTACGATATTATTCAATTTAGATAGTCATAGCAGGTAAATTAATTGATATTATTGTGTTCAAATCAAGTCTACGAAATATCGATATTTTGGAATTTCCGATATCGATATTATCGATATCGGTGAATTTTAAATATCGATATAAATATCGATATTTTGGTCTCGATATTATCGATATTCCGATATATCGTTGCAACCCTAATCACAACTAAGTGTCGATCTTTACTTGAGCACAGTTAGAAAGGGATGGCGCTATGTGCTATACAGAGCGACATCCCTTTCTAATTGTACTCAAGAAAAGATCAACACTTAGTTGTCATTCTGTAATACGGGCCTTAATCTTCCTCCGATATGAACCTACCTACTACGGCTAGCACTACTAGATGGCACTCCCCAAGTATCTTACAGTTGATCGCACATACTAATAGCACAGAACACAGAAAGATATTAGGCTCATAGACCATTTGTACGTGAACCGATGTCGCCGGCTAGCTGGAATACCGACCACTGCGAAAGTTGCTTTACTTTAACGATTGCAGTCGAAAGCGCTAACCACCCGCGCCATCGAGCTCCTCTATGAGCATTTGCTCACACATAACTATGGTGCGCCTACCCCGCCCACAAGGTCCTTCTAACGTCTTTCTGTGTTCTGCGTACGCGGCGCATTAAGAATTTATTGTGTGCAATCATATGAAACCTAAACACTTCCATTAGCATCGTACGCGCCGCATTTCGTAAAGTCTATCTGTATGAAAATGCGTCGCGTTTAGCGCGTGGGGTACGATGCGGATATAATAATATGTGCGATCACCTTTATTTATCGTCCGCAAACCGACTTTAGAGACAGCCAATTTTGTATGTAACATGAAGGTGATAATAATTTACAAAATTATAATAAAGTGTACACGAATAAAACTTTTCCGTTTTGTATTTATTTTTATAAATTGTTATTTTAATTAAATACCTATTTCTATAAATTAATTAGTATGAATTAAATGAGCATCCAGGCTTGAGATGTTTTTTTTTTGGGCTATGGTAAATAAATAACTATAAAATTTTAATTAAAATCTTCATAATATTAAAAACAGCAAATGCCAAATGCTTAGCGGACTATGTTAATTTATGTGCCAATTAGATTGATAAGTACAGCCTGTTGTAAATAAAATAAATGTTACAAGTATCATACCTAATTAAATAAGCATAGTTATTGAGTAGAATACTTACCTATTAAATTGTAAAATATTTTATTTGTATATAAGTAACTTATTATTTTAATTTGCTCTAAGATAAACTGCCAAATTTGCTCGTTATGTACCTACACAGTCTTTATAAACTTCAATAAATGTAAAAAATACTGATCCTAAATTTAATGTTTCATTTTAATATGACATCCCTTTATTTTATTCAAAGAGAATTCAGCGATATACGTGATTTTATTGAAAAGTAATAGTAAGAAAAAAAGCAGTCTCAAGATTATTTGGCCATCATACAAAGGCTGTTAGGTGCAATAAAAATTAGGTTGCAATTCTTGTTCCGGAAACAATCATGATAACGGTCAGTAATCGAAACAAAAACAAGCAGCTTGCGCATTATGTAGCTGCAAAATAAACAGACACACTGCAAAATAATTATTTGGTTAGCAAGATTGTAGAATTGGGCAGTAAAGAATTCACATTTCTTTAAGTAGGTAAAATATGCACTCCACACAAAATGTGTGGGTGCGGTTAAATAATGCAGACTGATTTAGAAATATTTGCTTACCAACTAGCTATTTTGGCTAATCAGTATATTCTTTACTATGAAAAATACGCAGTATTTTTTACATTTATGTAAATAAAATAAATAGGGTGTCATTTAACGGGTGCTACCCGTGGTGTGCCGAAACCCAATGGTGGTTTAAACAACAACCTATTTATTTTATTCATCACAGTGGTATTACCGATATTGGAAAAAGGATAAACACTTATTTACCTCCCGTCATAAATTATAGCAAAATCCAATATTAAACCCAACATTTGAGAGAGAAAGGGCACAGTGGATTTCCCGCTCGAATTGGAGCGCCCGTCTGGGGAACTAAGCTCCGCCTTAAAGAAGATCACCACAGTAAAATAACACTACCTAGCCATGAAAAAGTTGGTGAACCGTGTATAATAATTGTCAGGTACATTGATAATCCATAATAATAGCATGCTTTTTCTGCTCGTAATCATTCAAAATACAAAGGGCCCTGTTGGATAGACAAAACTTTCTTGTTAAATTACTTCTTTTCTATTAAAGATCCGTTAGAGTTAGTACATGAATCGAGAGGTACATTTGAGACAAGCTACGATCAGTGTTATTTTTAAGTAGGTACTAGGAGCGTTATACAGCCGAGCCTCGATGGATAGATGAAGCGATTTATCGTAGAGGGCTATCGCGTATGAATCTACCGCTAGCGGCGTTAGTGTTGCGTGAAGTCTTCGAAATGTCAAATGTTATTGCTTGTGGTTTGACTACGCAGGTTTATTTCTGATTAAAATAATGTAGGGAATATTTGGTGATAACTCGGCTAGTTATGGCAAATATGAGTTACATGGTAATGAATGTCAGTTAATTAAATAAACAGTTAAATAAAAAAAATATATTATGTACTCCTTTTTTTCGAACAAATCACTGCGCATCACTGTGGCATGGCCGTTTATGTTTAGAATACGGTTCCTTTTGTATTAAAATAAGATTTAACAGTAAACTTTGATTTCACGTGCACATTAATCACAGACATTAATAAACTTCAAAAGTTACAATTCAGGACCTCATCCAACAGAGGCGCCATCTGGTGAGACAGAAAATGCTAGCCCTTAAATGTTCCTCAACCGTTTTGAAAGAAAAAAAAAACAGTTGAGGAACATTGAACCTTGTTAATAAATTCACGAGGTACATTGAACAAGCAAAGCGTTAACATTACTATTTTAAGTCTAGGATTAGTGGCCCCGCTAGATAGAAACACATCAATCACACCGGATCACACCATACATTCATACAGATTACTGAACTATGTCTAGGTGAACGACATATCTCAACTTCACGAGCGAATAGCTAATACTGGGGCTGTGTTGCATTCATTTGACATTACCAAGGACTTTTTATAGGGTATAAATACCTACCTAATGCATATGCGTAATGGTGGGGTTTTTCTGTGTTTACACAAAAGAAACAAGGCCAAAGATAAACAGGGGTTTTTTCAGAGATTACTATTCAAATCATTGTTTTGTTTTTTTACGGAAGGCCTTTCAAAATTAGTTCCAGTTCATTTATGATTACTGTCTACTTAGTCCAGTACCTAGAGCAAATAACGTTATGCATCTCCTTTAATAAGAATGACCTCCTATTGCCTTACATGCCTACTTTTGAGCAGCACTTTGCAGCCCTTTATACTATTTCGCTTTCTTCTTCAATGCCAAAGAAGTGTGTCAATATGACACATCATATTATTTACTATCTTTCCCGACTATGTTAAGAAAGAGAGGAGATTTATTGCGGAAAGGGAAAACGTTACATAATGGTCACAGCCAGAGATGATCAAAATTATCTATCATACAGCAGCTTTTGGTCCGACGCCGGCGTATTCAAATCTCTCAAGTATTATTGTTACGCTACAAAGTTACTCAAATTTGGCTTTTCGGCGTCTTTAGCTAATAGGGGAGCCCAAGAGGGGATTTAGGGTTTTACTCGAGCGCGGTGTAAGATAAAGCGGGCAACCTTCATCATCATCATCATCATCAGCCTAATAATGTCCCCACTGCTGGGGCACAGGCCTTCCCTATGGATGGAATAGGGAGATTGGGCCATGACCCATCACGCGGGCCCAGTGCGGATTGGTGGGTGCTAACGACTGCGGATGCAACCGGGACCAACGGCTTAACGTGCCTTCCGAAGCACGGAGGAGCTCGAGATAGTAAATTTTTGGTCACCCATCCAATGACCGACCACTGCGAAAGTTGCTTAACTTTAACGATCGCAGCCAAACGCGCTTACCAGTTGCGCCATCGAGCTCCTCCTTGCACCTTGTGAAGTAAATACTCCCACCATGACTTTTGGTCGCGACCAAAGAGTCAGTCTTTTCAATAGGAGCGACTGGAGGGTTCACGTAACATCCCATCTCAATAGCCGTATGTTTGTTTCACTATATTCTACCTTTTCGTACGGCTAGTCCTACACCATAGAAACCGGCTCATTAATATTTTTTCGGTCCTAAGAAATGTTACGGAACCCTCCAGTAGCTTCTATTCAAAAGACTGACGATTTGGACGCAAACAAAAGTCCGTTATACGTTTGCTCTACATAAAGAGCTCAGGTATGTTTGGGCGTACGTACTCCAAAAGGTGCAAGGTTGCCCCCAATATGTTATTCCGCAGCGCTCGAGTAAATTCCAAAATCCCCGCTTGGGCTCCCCTACTTTATATAAGGACGCCTAAAATTAAAATTAAAGTGAGATTATCTAATATTCCTAGTACCTATACAAAAGAAAAGACGACTTGAAAATTTCTTGGCCTTAATACATTCATGATTTAAATTCTTGAAATACAAGCCACCAACGAGGAAAATGGTTCACACTTCACTCACGAGATACTGCTAATATGTAGGCAGTTTTATTTAAAATACTTAGGTAGAATACGATGCTAACAATTAACAAATACTTAGTGGCCATTGGCCAAGAATATTATAAATGGGTGTGGTTAGTTAGGGTAATAGCAGTACGTAAACACGTACTGCTATATTATTTATGACTTGTATAGGCAATAATAGGAACCTACTGTCCAAATTTCATCATTCTAGGTCCAGCCGTTTCAGCTGTGAGTTGATGAGTCAGTCAGTGAGTCTGTCAATGTATCATTTTCTCTCTTTATATAATAGTAATAGTATAGATAAGGCAATGTTATGTAAACGTTTTCATTAATTTTATGATGTTTTGGCTTTTCTACGATGCCGCTGCCGTGATGAGAATATGACTGCGACCACAGAATACATGGTGTGATGTCTTAAGATCATAGTATAGATCTAAAACAATACTCTTCACCACATATTTGACTAATTTGCTCTGTTGCTTTCTTTTTCAGGTTTCCCGCTCTTTCTCTTTGAAAGTGCGAAAAAAGATTAGGGTATTTCACAGACAATAAGAGAGTAAATGTATTGGAAAACAAACTCGTTAAATTAATTGAATAGTAGATTACATTTTGTTATTTGAATATGCGATATTTTTCATAATTATAATAATCTACCGAAACGCATATTTATTACTACTTACTTTATTAATTAATGATGGCAATTATTGTATGTCGAAGTCTGCATTTTCTACTAGATAGAGCTTTTCAAAAGCTATGAATGAAACGAAAAAAATTGATTGACTTCATTTTATCAAATGTTATAACGGGATTTACACTACCCAATTTTAAGGGACCAATCGAATGGGTGGGTGTGGCCCCTAGCTAGGGTAAGCAATTATTACACCCGTGCCGATCCCCGTAGATCGGGTCCCTTACAGGGAGTAAGGGAACTCACATTACAACACCCTTAGTCAGGGTAAGTGTCACTTAAAACTGGGTAGTGTAAATCCCGCACATATTATAAGTATAAGTTTGACATAATTGTTCGTTTACGTTTCTTTGTGTTTTATTTAGACCTACGCTATTGTTAAGTTTTCCGTTTCTCGAAAAAAGTAAGCGTGCTTTTGTTTGCCTGTGCCGTCTACCGGTATGAAAACCACAATTGTAGAAACTGTTGGTTTGAAAAGAAAAGGTATTTTTTTTGTCTTAAATGTGATATCGCTAACTGCAGGTCAAGTTACTTAGATCTGTCAAATTTCTACAAATGACTGTGCTTTACATTACGCAAAATAAGATTCACAGACTTTATCTAGTATGTAGGTACCTAACTATTTCGTCAATCAACCAAGCAAGTCACCCAATCTAATCCCGAGTCCGTAACAAAGACATTTACGTCTGCTAACTTAGATTCTGCTAATGTTGTGTTATGTAGGTGATATTTGCCGCTGACGTCACTGTAATTTCCCACTTCCTAAACTCTCGTGTAACTCACTTAATCACCCAAGTCAAGTAAGTATATTTATTTAAAATTAATCTCTTAAGTAATACACAGAACAAAAAGTTATTGCTAATGTTGATTTAGGTAGGTACCTACTTATTTATGTAAGCTGTTGGTATGTACACAAATTGAATTAATATTGCAAACAATATTTATAAGAAAACTAGATTTTTACAAATACTATCAATAAATTTATTTTTCACAACATGAGATTCAGTTACATCAAGTCTTATTGTAAAGTTATAATGATAAAATTATTCAGTAAGTTCAATAATATGACTTCTAGCCTGTACATAAAACATTCTTTACATCATTGTCATAAGAGTCATTCAAGGAAATCACATTTATAAATAAGATGATGACCTTAGATTAACAAGTTCACAGCTGAGGGGACGAGCCAGTTATGTTAAGAAGTAGTATTTATATACCTGATAGATTTTATCCCCACTCATTTCTGTGTATAGTACTTGAAAAGATCAATTAAGCTTCTTATTTGGACTTGTTTTAAATACTAACATACTCCTTCAATTGTTTTTGTGGTCTACAAAAGAAAGAATCTAAATTTGTGCCAAACTGCAATATTTAGTGCCCGAAGTTTGCAGTCTCTGTTGGCCATCATCAGAAAATACAAATACTTAATTACATTTTTAAGGTATTGGTATGGACAGTCACAGTAACATACCACTTCAATCACTTTAAAAATAATAGACAGATTAGATATAGGTATACTTACATGATTTTATAACTGCAATAAGTGCCAGCCTGTACATTATTTTACAAAATATAACTGCATCAACACAAACATCTGTGCTAACGTGTTGTAACCACATTAATCATTAAAACAACTTTAATTAATATATTTTATGATAGACAAAGTATGTTTTAGGTTGCTTAGCAAAAATACCTCGGAATAACAATCTTACATTTTAATTAGATTAAATTTGATTTCTTATATTTTTATACACTTGGGATCTTTACTTTGCAAAACTTTGTTAATCAGTTGTTCCCATAAAAATCAGGTATTTTCCTAGAATGAGTATTACAAACAAGTCATAATTCCATTTACAAAAGATGAAATATTTTAACCTTATCCTAAGTCTGCATTTATCATACAGAATGTTGTGACATTATGTAAATTAAACATAAAACCCAGAGAGACAGAAACATTGTATGAAGGTTAACATCACAGATAAGTTGAATTTAAAATGATTTTTACCAATATAAATGCTAATTTAAAATAATGATGGCTCTTGATAGATTCCACCGAATACTATGGTATTGGTAACTTTTTCTATTATCATGTAACTGAATGGTCGGTTTACATTAAAAGTTATAACTCCGAAACGATTGCTGAAATCGGCAACAGTGACTCCGCTAGCAACAGTACCTTGTTCGGATACTTCTATTTCTGACTTGTGAATAATCTTTGAAACATATAAAGGCATTCTTGCCATACGGTACAGTCTTGCTTTGGAGATGTCAAAGAGATCAACAATACCTAATCTGTCTCTCAAAATGGGTGTGAGATCTAGGTTTGATTCAATTTTGAACCTTGGAAGGAAGCAACTGACCTCATCGTCACCATAATTTTCTCGGGCAATCTTTAACTCTTCAAACATTCTATCTATTGTGAAGTTATTGAAATTTAGAAACATGCTGTCTAATGAAACTCCAGTATGTGGTAACATGATGACCATGGAAAGACGGTTTTCAGTTCCATATGGTAATTCCAATATTCTGGCTTTTATCTCAGGTATATTTGCAAATGGATAAGTGTAAGTACTGTGCATCATGTTCACTTCGCCGATTTGTTTTCCATCACTACTATAGAATGGACTCTTTCTTGTGGAAGACGCGTTAAAAGGTATTGTCCACTGTCCTTTGAAATATACAGCGCTGGTTAAAATTAAATGTGAGTTGGTGAAATAGCTGCTGTCAACTAATTTTGGTATCCTGCCGTGGGTCACATTAGAAATAACCCTGTTCACTAAATCAGATGCTACATCAGATTCTGCGAAGTTTAGAGGAACAACATCAGTGTCATAGTTAGCCTTTGCCGAGTCTATGAAGTCCTTTAGAGGGAGGCCTGCTAGGTCTACGAACATAGCGTTAACTTTTGCAAGTTCTACAGTACCCGTTTTAACTTGAAGCCATTTCACAATGTCCTTGTACTCATTGCGCACCAGGTCCCGATTTTTCGCTGTCACGCGTATAACATTGTTGATTTGGTTGAGTGTTTCACCCGCTGCCCCTTCAGCAGTGACTGCTAAAACCGTCCACACTGTGATCGGCGATGCAATAAGATTCGAAGTTCTCGGCTGCAACTGAGACGTGTGATACAGGAATTCAATCGAGAAATTGCCGATCTTCTCTGTGAGTCCTTTGTGTAGATCCACCACGTTGGGTATATTTGGAATATTTTGTCCGTAGCACAGCGTTAATGTTAGTAACACAAATTTTATCACGTTCAACTGCATGTTGATTATATTAAAATAGTTTTAGAACACAACACGGCACATTAGATATAAACCAACGATTTGTTTCCGAAAAGTTTTCAATGTAAACACGTATTCACCATCGTGCGACAAACAAAATGAGGCGGCGGGCGGAGTGAGCCAACGAGGAAAACTGATTAACTGACCGGTTTGTACCTTTGCGCTGTTTTTGTGTTATCGTCTCGTCGAGTTCATATAGGCAAGCACGTAACGTATAACGTAACTTTAGTTCTTATTAATACAACTAGACGGGCGACGGGGTTTTTTTTGCTTCAAATTTACTAGACAAACTGATGGTATGGCTTTACACGCACACAACAAGATTATTCGCTCAGTATTTAAAATAAAGATTGCAAGTCACAACAGCAAGTCAAACAATCGCACACTGCAACAAAAAATAATTGATTTCGAGTTATACGATACTTACACGGTTTTAAATCACTAAACTATCTATAAACCATCATTAATTAAGTAAGTATAATTATAGTAATTTGGAAATGATAATTCAAATATATTACATGTTTAAATGGTTCAAATTAGCATATAGAAATACAATAGGTACCTACTTAATTAGGTAATGTCTAAGCACACATTATTTAAGTAGTAGTCAGTACGTATATTCATTGGTACGCACAAGCGGAAGTTTGAAGTAAATAAAATATGCAAGTACAAGCGCCGTTACAGGAAAAAACTGAGTGCATAAATATTTACTTACTTATTTTTTTTATACAAATCTAGATCAAATGAAAAACAAACGGCCTGCGTTCATTCCCGAGTCAGGATTTTTTTTCTGTAAGTACAAAAACAAAATTTCACCAGCTTCCAATTTACTTCTTTCCAAGTAGGTATTTTGGCAAGTTGTGTGAATTTGTCCTATACTTTTTCATAGGTACCTATTTATCTATAGTCAGTTTCCAGCAGTGGCAAATGTAATCGGACAAATAAAAACTCCAAATCAACAAAAAGTAGGAACTTTAGTTACCTGGACGTTACATACTCTTGTGGGACCCCAGGTAGTATCGAAACAGAAAAAACATGCACGGACCACGGGCACGGACAAAGAATCATAATCGCAAATAGTTCGACAAAAAATGTAAAAGTCAGTGAAACACAGTAAAAGTCAGTGAAATGCCAATGTCAAATTTTATATTGAAACTTGAACAGCAGCGCTTCTTCTTCTTCTTCTTCACGGTGGGTGTTTTCCGCAACTCGACACCAGGTGCCTATTTTGCGTGTGAGGATGGCCTTAGTCGTGCCATCCCAGCTCCCCCAAGAAGCTCAGCAGTCTCCTGATGTCGCCGCAGGCCTCGAGTAGCGTCTGCGGGCTGCCCAGGTGTGTCATTCGATGTCTGGTCACGCCTCTGCACTGCAGCAGGACGTGAGTGCTCGTCTCCTCTTCCTCCATGCAGGCTCTGCACAGAGGACTGTCCGAGACACCTATTTTAAACAGATGTTTATTAAAGTGTCCGTGTCCTGTGAGAATACTCACTATTTGTTTCAGAGCATGTCTTGGTAACTTGCAAAACTTACTTGCTAGCCGTGGGTCTACCTTAGGTATGGCCTCCCTGGCGTGCCAGCAGTCTGCAAGTCCAGCCCAGTATTCGTTGTGTAGTCGCAGGTACCGTTCCCTAATCCAACTTCGCAGCAGCCGGTATGGGATCGGTACGATTGGTTCTGGGCCATATACCACAGTGTCCGACCCTCTCCTGGCCAGACAATCTGCTGCATCATTGCCCCTTGACCCACTATGTCCTTTTATCCATTGGAGTATGACCTCGTTTTCTCTGCCTACCTCCATGAGTTTGCAGTGGCATTCAAAAACCAAGCCGGACGTCATTACATTGTTGTCTAGCGCCTGGAGTACCGAGGCACTGTCAGAGAGTATCCGGATGTTTCTACTCCTGATTGCACGTTTTGTGATGGCCTCCGCTGCTCTGACAATGCCTATACACTCCGCCTGAAAGACCGTATTGAGGATGCCCAGGCTGTCTGATATATGAATGTTGATATCCTCTGAGAACACACCTGCACCAGTACCTGAGTTGGTTTTGGAGCCGTCTGTGTATACCCTCAGCTCCTTGTGTAGTCCTCGGTCAGGATTGTCTTCATATAGTTGTATTCTATATTTTTTGTCAAATACATACTGTCTAGGGATGATGTCGTTTCTCGCCATGAAGAAGGGGTATTCTTCCTCAATGCCTTTTAGAATACGTGTATGTGGCGTATTGTAGTCTCTCCGCAAGCCTAGCATATGGAGCCTAGTAGACGCACATGCTGCTTCTTGCTGGATGTAGAAATGTAGTGGTCTTACGTTCAGAATTGTCTCAAGTGCTGCAGTAGGGGTGGTTTTCATGCAGCCCGTTATCGCCCGGCAGACCCTCCCTTGGAAGCACTTAAGTTTGTCTATGGTTGTTACCTGTGTTGTCTTCGTCCACCATACAAGCGCTGCATAGCCTATGATGGGTCTTATTATTGTCGTGTATAGCCATTTTATTATAAAGGGGGATAAGCCCCACCTCTTACCCAGCATCCTCTTGCATTGGTACAAAATGATGCAGGCTTTCTTAATGGTTTTGTCAATATGTGTTCCCCAGTTGAGTTTGGCGTCTAGATTTATGCCTAAATACTTTACCTCCTTTGAGAAACACAGCGTCTTGCCGAATAATACTGGCATGCGGTAGCTGCCCAGGTTCCTTTTATTGGTGAACAGAACTAGTTCTGTTTTACCCGGGTTTACCTTTAGTCCATAGTCCGAGCACCATATCTCTACCACTCTCAGTGCCCTTTGTGTCACATCGCATACCGTGTCCGCAAACTTACCCGGGATTAGGATCGCCAGGTCATCTGCATATCCTATTGTGAGGTAGTGCAGATTGTTCAGTCTTGTTATGAGGTCGTTCACAACTGTATTCCAAAGTAGTGGTGAGAGTACCCCCCCTTGAGGGCAACCTCTCGTAGCCAGTGCTCGCAGTTGATTCTCTCCTTGTGGTCTTATTAACCTGTTAGATAGCATGTTACTTATCCACTGGACGATGGTCTCATCAGCTCCGTGTCTAAGTAGGGCTGTCGTAATGCTGCTAAAACTGGTTTTGTCAAATGCTCCCTCTATGTCTATGAATGTGCCTAGGCAGAGCTCCTTACGTCCTAGGCTGTCCTCGATCATGCTTACTACGGCATGCAAAGCCGATTCTGTCGATTTACCTGGACTGTAGGCATGTTGATTTGGGTGAAGCGTAGCCTTAGTCAGTTGATTGTCTCTTAGTTCTCTGTCGCAAAGCCTCTCTAATAATTTTAGTAAGAAAGAAGAGAGGCTAATTGGTCTGTATGATTTTGGCTCACTATAGTCGCTCTTACCAGGTTTAGGGATGAAAGTTACTCTGACATCCCTCCACAGTTTGGGTGTGTACCTGTAGGCCAGGCATGCTCTTAGTAGAGCTACCAGGATCCGTATTAGGTCATCTCCCGCCCACTGAAGAAGTGCCGGGAAAATTCCATCCGGACCCGCGGCCTTGAAAGGTTGGAAACTATTTAGTGCCCATTTTACCTTGTCCTGTGATACTGTCTTGTTAGCTATGTCCCAGCAGTGTAAGGTCGGTGTCCAAATGTTTCCCCCCCAGACATGTGCTGGCTTCATCACACAGCCCGGGAAGTGCGTCTCCAGGAGTGGCCTCTGTGCTTCTACCGGTGTTGAGGTGTATGTCCCGTCAGGTCTGCACAGCTGGCCCAAGTCCTGTGAGTTGTCTTTGCAGAGTAATTTTCTTACTTTGTTTGCCGTGGAACACGTGTCAATGCTGGTGCAGAATTTCCGCCATGACCCATCGCTCCAGTGCCGAATTCGTCTTTTGTACAGAGATTTTGCATCTCTATATGCGTCCCAGTCTTGGTCATCACAGGTGTTCATGGCCCTGTTAAAGAGGCGTCTTACCTTTTTCCTCAGTCTTGCAAGTTCAGGTCCCCACCAGGAGTTTTTGTTACTAGGGTTAGTCCTAGGTGTGCTGAGGGGGCATGCATTCCGGTAGCCGGACATGATGGCCTCAGTCAGCTCCTCGGTGGTCTTGTCTATTGTCTCGGTGTCCTCATAGTCCCTGAGCTGCATGCGCTGTAGGGATTGAGTTACCTGTAGTGTATACTGCTTCTTATTTGTCTTCCTAGGTATGCGCCTGGGTGTCGGGATTACAGTTTGTATAGCGAGTTTGAAAGTGATCCATCTGTGGTCCGAGCAGGAGGCCTCCATGGAAACCTTCCAGTCGGACACCAGATTGGCACCCATCCTCGTCGCCAGTGTTAAGTCTATGATGGTTCTTGCTCTTCTTGTCACGAATGTTGGAGCCGACCCTATATTTAGGATGCTCAGATCTGTCGTAAAAAGAAAGTCTACTAAGTCCTCACCTCGCTTGTTGCTGTTTGGCATGCCCCATAGAGGATGATGGGCGTTGGCGTCAGCGCCGATGATCAGCGCCATGTCGTTTTGTTCGCAGTATCTCACCAGCTCCACTAGTTCATCTGGTGGTGCCGACTCCTCCTCATGCATGTAGGCGGAGGCCATCACCAGATCGGGTACACTTGGATCTTGCGATTGTTTTATTTTGATGGTCGTTAGGTCGCTAGAACAGAATTGTGTCATTAATTGTGCCTGTATGGTAGTAGAACATATGATACAGGACCGCGGAGCACGGTTCTTTGCTGTATAGAATGTCTTACCACCGCTGTTTCTGAAGCCGCATACGCTATTGGATCTGACCCACGGCTCCTGGATCAGAGCCACTGCCTTGTCGTTAACCTCCAACCATCTCGTGAGCTGAGCCGTTGCGGTACGACTGTGTTGGAGGTTAGCCTGGATGGTCTTAATGGTCGGTGGTGGAGGCGCCATCGGACGATAGCAGCACATCAACATCGACCTCCTGATCGATGTTGATCCCACCGAGTCTGTCTGCCCACTCGTCTACAACCTCCTGCTCCATCCGCTCCATCGAAGCAGCGTCGCAGGTGGCCGAGGTGTCGTCTGTTTCAGTCGTACGCTGCGGCGTCTCGGGAGGCTCTGGTTCTCTCTGTGACGGAGCCGGTGTTGTATGTTCTAGAGGTGGCAGGGTTTCAAGGTACGGACCGCCCTTGCTCCTGAACCTCACGTACACAGAGCCCAGTAGATAG